GGTAGATTTTTCAATCTCTTTAATGAATGTCATTGGAATTTTGATGGGAATTTGCATTAAACATGTAGATTACTTTTGGGAGTATAGCCATTTTTAGCATGGGAGATCTCTCCACTTTCTATAGTCTTCCTCAATCTCTTTCTTCAGAAGTTTACACTTCAGCCATTTTGACAGCTGCTTTTTCCATTTTAATCAGACTAACTTCCCAAAAATAATGTCAAAAGTAGCTGACTTTTTAAAGTGCATAGTGTATGTCACACATTATATATTCATATACAATATATGTGTATACATTAAATATTTGCATATAAAACATGCATAAACAGGGTTTATACACATATTGTTTCTTTAATTCTCATTGCAATCCTATGAGGTACATACTATTATTACCTTTATTGGTTAGTTGAATTTCCTGATGTCATCCAGCTAGTAAATAGTGAACTGAATGTGTTTGATTCAGATTCTGAGCTCTTGTCCACTATGCTACCTTTCTAATTTCATTTATTTAGAAACAATATTCCACATGGGTTAGCAAATAATTTATAGTTCTCAATTAAAAACTACATTATGAAGTAGTAATAATTTTTTTTTTGGTCGTACTGGGGTTTGGATCTGGGGGCCTTGTGCCTTCTAGACAGGAGTTCTACCACTTGTGCCATGTCCCTAGCCCTTTTTGCTTTTGGTACTTTTAAAACAGGACCTCGAACCTGGACCTTGATCCTCCTAGTTACACTTCCCACATAGCTGGGATAATAGCAGCATGCTACCTCTCCCAGCTATTGGTTGAGATGGAGGTGGGTTGGGCGCGGGGAGTCTAACTAACTTTTTGCTTGGGCTCACCTCAAACCATGATCCTCCAAATATCTGCTTCTCAAAAGCAGCTAGGATTACACATGTGAATCACCACTCTTGGCTATGAATTTTATTTTCTAACTAGCTCTTGAATTTGTTCACCTTTTTCCACCTTGACTGTCACCAGTCATATCCATGTCCTCTGGACATCCTCTGTAGCCTCCAGTTTCCACTGTTGCCTTTTCCTTCTTTATCACAATGAACTTCATAAAGCGGAAGGAGGAACATCTCCTTCTTGCTTAAAACCCTTCTATGGCCTCCCCTTGCTCCCACTGCTTTCATATATCTGCCTTTTTCTCTAAATTTCATGTTCTGTGAAAGCTGGCACTGTGCCTGCTTTGCCAGTGTTGTATCTCCAGCATCAAGTTGGTGCCTGGTACATAATAGAAGCTAAATGAATTTTTGTTGAATGAATGACCTTCTTTTTTTTTGTGGTGGTGGGTTCAAACCCAAGGCTTCACACATACTAAGTGAGCACTGTATACCGAGCTACACCCCCAAACTCCAAATGACTTTTAGAAAGAGGAACTTAGTAACTTAAATAGGAAAATTAAAAAGAGTAAATTTATAGGCACGAATGCAGGTTTTACATACTTTGCTATCCATAATTTCTGTTTATTGTTTCATTCTCTTTGGATGGTAAGCTCCATGAGGGCAGTAACCATTTCTGTTTTGTTCCCCACTCTATTCTAGTTCTATGTTAGGTTCATGGGAAGTACTTAGTAAATATTTGTTATATGAGTAATTTCAATTATCCATGTGAATTGAAAGGTGATGAATCAAAGATGACCAATAGTACAGGTTAGGACAGGATTGAAACATGAAACTACAACATTAGTTGTAAGAGCTGTGAAGGATGAGACTTTTTCATTCATTCAAAATATAAGGCACCTACCAGGCACCAGACACTGCTATGCAGCCTTTACTGTGAGTTTGAAATCTGGTGATAAACAGGCAATCAAATTTAGTGAGAGAAATTTTGCAAGGGCAGGCAAGAAGGGGCACTTCAGGGAATATTTAGGAGACATTTAATCCAGACGTGGGTAATTTCTAGATTGTTGGTAGCTAAAGGAAGAGGGTATGGAAAGAAATGGACAATATTTGGATGCATAAGAGCCTAAAGGCAGGAAAGCCAGTGGTAGACTGACTATAGCTTAGACTTCCTTCTTCCTTTCATCCAACTGATTTTTGTTGAGCCCTTATCATATGCCAGGCATTGTATTACGCCATTGTCAAATTTGTATTTCAAAACTAGTCGTTAAAAAATGTGAAAAAAAGTTTTTTCTTTAGTCGTTTTGGTAGACACACTTTTTTCTTTTTTTTCTTTTGGTAGAGACACTTCTGAATTGTTTTTTCCTCTTAAAAGTGCTTTGTAGATACTTAATATTTACTGGATCAAGCACTGCGTGTGACTAATCTGACCACTATGTAGTAAAAGCTTTCTGTTAGCGCTGTTCAATACAACTTTTTGTGACAATGGAAAATATTTTACCACGCTTGCACCATCCAGTATGGTAGCCACTAGCCACGTGTACTGTTGAGCATTTGAAATGTGGCTAGTGAGACTGAAAAAAACAGTTTAATATCTTATTTAATGTTAATTAATTTTAATTTAAATTACCACATGTAACTAGAGACTACAGTACCGCAGTCTAAAAGGTCTGAGGCTGGCACTGGGAACAGGAAGGTTTTCAGCCCCTCGCATAAAAATGCAGGTTGTTAGTAAAGGGTTAATTAAATGTCTTAAGTGCTGAGCTGTTCAGTGCCACCAACAGTAATAAATATCTGTGCATAGTGGCAAGCCATAATTAGCACCTAAGTTACCGAACAGTAATCAACTTCGCAGCCTGGCATACTAGCAAGACAGCCAAGTCTGCGGGGTGAAATACTCACTTCTCTAACCCCACCCTTTCCATGGTGCACTCGCCGCATTCGGCAGTCCCGAGTTGCATTATGGGCTATGTAGGTCACAGTGCGCGTGAAGTCACTGCCGGCGTCTCTCGTCATCTGAGCGGACTACGTCGGGGCGATTTATGTTAGTCCGGTGTTTTCTGGGAATTGTAGTCCATTGCTGCCTGTGGACCCTCAGCTCTCGCTATTTGGGAACTACAATTCCCGGTGGGCCACGAGACGCACTGTAGTTAATAGTGAGCTGTGCGATTGCCTCAGCAGGTGTGAAGTGTGTGCTTCAGTGTCGTGGGAGACTTGCGTCCCCGAGAGGGAGGGGAAAGGTTAAAACACTCCTTGAGTGGGGTTGCCGGGTCACTGTCGCGGATTTTCAGAGCCTGCTGGGCGGCGCCATGGCGGTGAGTTTGGGCGGGAAGAGTCCTCTCGGTCGGGCCTAGGAACCCGGCTGGTCAGTCACTGAGGCTTTCCATGTGCTAGCCATTGGCTTGAAGGGAAATCTGTCCTTTTACCGCCACGCTTAAGGTGTGTGTATCCTGGAGAAATATTTGCCTTGCTAGCTGATGAGACAGGAAATGAGTGTCTTTAACTTGGATACCCTGTATTTCCCCGAAGCTTTAAAACAATCGAGGTGGACAGAGAGGAGTATGTAATGTTGACTGCCCCTTTAAGCAAAACATTGAGCGGCTCTCCTTAATGAGACAAAAGTCTACATTTTCAGGTGGTTTGTGAGTGTGCGTAGACTACATGCTAAAATACATGGAAAAATGCTATGTCAGGTGTGGATAAGCACCATGAAAAAAAAAAGAAACAGCAGGAAGTGGGACTAGGGAGTATAGGGAGTATACAGCTAAAATTTAAAACAGGAAGGTCAAACAACGCTTTGCTAAGGGGTGGGGGAAGCCATGCACCTACATGTGGGAGAGATTTTAGGCAGAGGCATCAGTAAGAGTGAAAAGCAAGGAAGGGCTGTATTGCAAAGGGCAGTGATCCAGGGGGAGATAATAGGTGTTTGTGTATTGGGTGAGGGGAAGTTGTAGTGCTCTGTGGTGGGTGGAGGTCATATAAGGCCTCATAGATCACTGTAAAAGCATTGATATTAATCTAGAACTCATTGGAATATTTCACATAAATGACAAAACATTCTGATTTCTGTATTGAGGGGGAAGAATAATTAGAGGTGAAAGGAGATAGTTCTGAGTAACCAGTTGAGAGAGGCTGGGTACTTGGGCCAGGATGGAAGTAATGGAGGTGATGAAAAATAATTGGATTCTAGATATTCTAGACTGTAAGGCTTACCAAGCATAAGGCTCTGAGTTTGAACCCCAATACACCAAAAAAAAAAAAAAAAGATATATTCTGAAGGTAGAGCCAACAATGTTTGCTGATGGGTTTGGAAAGCTGTGGGAGGAGCAGGTTTGGTTGGGGCTTGTGTGAGACTGGAGGTTCTTTATTCAGACATGTTAAGTTCAGGTTGCCTAACAGGCATTTCAGATGGAGTGCTGAGTAGGTGTTAGGTGTGTGAATTTGGAGATCCAAGGAGAAATGGGATCTAGATGGGAATATTGATATTTAAAGCCACAGGATTGGATGAGGTCACTGTTCATTGGGTATACATAGATTACACAAGAGATCCAAAAACTGAGATGGGAAATATCCAGCAGTGGCAACTGAGTAGGAAGGACTAGTGTGATAGGAAGGCAAACAGGATAATAGGGTATTCTGGAAACCAGGTAAGAGTTTTAAGGAAGAAAGAATGTTAAAAACTGTTAGTTGATCAAGTAATGAATGAAGACGGAGACTTAACTATTGAATTTAGAAACAGGGAGATAATTTAAACTGTGGTAGAGGTGAACAAAAGCCCGATTAAGGAGTGGATTCAAGCTGGGGTCATGTCTCAAGTGGTAGAGGCTTGCGTAGCAAGCACAAGGCCCAGAGTACAAACTCCAGTACCATCCAAAAAAAAAAAGGAGTGGGTTCAGGAACCAAAAACCTAAAGGAAAGAGGGTGTAAGAGGAATTATTTTCCCCATTTTACATTGAGGAGATCTGACCCTGCAAGGTTAAATATCCTTAGTAAAAAGCAATATAATTTATATTCGTATAACACTTTGCAGTTTACAGAAGACTATTTTCCAGAAAACAGTCTGGGGCAGTTGCGGGAGCATTGAGCTGTTAGAGGAAAACCTGGATAGAACCTGTCTAGATTGCATAGGTAGTAACTGGTGGAATAGGATATTGGCAAAGTAACAAGAGGAAGCAGAAGTAGGAGTCAAGGTGAGGGTGTCTGTCCAACTTCACCATTTTCTGGATTGAGCTGTGAGCTTCATATTTGCTGTCATTGAAATGATAATCACAGCTCTGCTTACTTCTTAGGGTTGCGAAGAGTAAGTTAGTGTTCATGAAAGTGTCTTAAGAACTGTAGAATGTTATGAATATGAGAAAAAGTTTCGATCTATTCCACTGGTTCTATATTAAGGTGATTTTTGCCTCCCAAAAGATCTCTGCCAATGTCTGGAGACACTTTTGGTTGTCACAGCTGGGTTGTGCTTCTGGTATCTAGTGGGTAAAAACCAGGGATGCTTCTAAGCATCCTGCAATGCATTGGACAGCCCCTGAAAGCAAAAAACTATTTGGCATAAATGTTAGTAGTATCAGAGTTCAGGAGTAAATATGTTAATACTAGATATTAATTTTTTTCCTTTGACCTTCAAGTTCAGTTTTTCTTCTGATTTTAAAAGAAACCAAAACATTTTCATGATCTCTGTATAAGTTGACCATTAGAAGTTGAACACAATGTTTTAAGTGCCAGGTAGAAGTGACTTATTTTCTTTTGTTCCAGACCTCTTTGCCAGAACCCAGTTACATTGCTCCAGTCTAGCTGAATTTGCCAGGAAACCTGAAAGAGTGCACTTAACTGCATTTGCTGCACTATCCTAAATAAGACTGAGTTTCTGTTACCGAGGAAGAAAGGGGAAGAATGGATATTGTATAGGCAACTTGGTGTCTCAGTCACAGTTTTATTTTAAAAAGTCCTTGTATATTAGAATACACTGTAATAGAGAGCCTGGAAGCAGGTTACTTGTTAGGAAATTGTTTTGCAGTCTAAATGAAGGTGGTTGGTAGAAGGAGTAGAAGGGAGTGGACAGATGCTGGGTGTATTCTTTCTTGGAAAAGGAAATACCTTACGTAACTATACTTTTATGTAAACTAAGAGTACAGGTTTCTTAGTACCTTCAGTGAAATATATAATCCAATTCCTAATCCATGTTATTTCTTTATGGTCACAATCACAAAAAGCTGGTAATGTGTTATTTACTTCTCTTTTAAAATCTTTAAATGTTCAACAGATATTTATTAAGGGCCTATTATGAGGTGGACGTTGAGGATGCAATGAAAAGTGAGGCAGAGTTCCTACTGTGAGCAGACTAATACTGAGTTAGCGGAAACATTGATACCATTGTGTGACTAATGTTATAGGAGAAATACTGGTATGTAGGAACACATTAAGAGAGTTATCTTGCACTCTTTTTTTTTTTGTGGTACTGGAGTTTGAACTCAGGGTCCACACCTTGAGCCACTCCACCAGTCCTTTTTTGTGATGGAATTTTTCCCAGATAGGGTTGTGTGAACTATTTGCTCAGGCCGACTGTGAACTGCAGTCCTCCTGACTTCTGCCTCCTGAGTAGCTAGAATTACAGGCGTGAGCACCTGGTGTCCGGCTTATTTTGAACTCTTTAAGAATTCAAGGCAGGTAATTAGCTGAAACTGGAAGTTTGAGATAGCCAGGCAAATAGATTGTTGGGGTATGAGGGCAGATTGAATAGCTTGAATAAAGGCCCAGAGGAGAGAGAGGGAGCAGATTGTGGTACATGTGACAAGATGCAAATGGTTTAATAGGCCAAAGGTGGTGGTGGGCAAATATCAAGCAGGGTAAAGAGGGAGTGGTCTGGCAGAGATGAGACAAGAAGGGCCTTGAATGCCAGATTTAAGAGTATGGATTTTATCTGAAGAATAGTTGGGAGCCTCTGAAGGGGGATTCACAGTGAGATTTAAACTTTGATTTGATTGCTACACACAGCAGTGTGACCTGGACAGGATTTACAGAAACATAAAATTTGTTTTCTTTTGATTTTTTTTTTTTTCAAGACAAGGTCTTTTTGCATAGCCCAGGCTAGCCTTGAACTTGCCTTTTTCCTGCCTCAGTAATGTGATTATAACAGTGTGTCTAAGAAGGCAGTATATTTGTGATGTAACTAGAAAGCATTTTTAAAATTGTCGTGTGGAAGGGCAGAGGGAAGGAATGATTAAAAGAAACAGACCTATAGGTGACCTGGTGATGGCACTTATCTGATAGATTGTAAAATATGGGTAGAAACCAGGTATTTTCTCATGTAGAGATGCTGCAGAATCTGGAAATCTTAGCATTAGGAGAAGTGGAAGAAAGTTTAATTTCAGTTCAGACAATTTTATACTAGAAAGTAAAATTGTAGATTCTAGTACAAAATTCTGTTCTTAAAATAGAATTAGGTTTGTGTTTGGCCCACTGGCATTCAACTCTCACATCTGCTTATTCTGTAAGTGCCGTGTTCCCCTCCTATTAACAGGTAACTCTTCCATATAGAGTCACAGGCTGGGAATGAAACTCTAAATCTGTGCTGAATACATTCTGATAAATTTGAACGTATCTTTCTCCTCAAACATTTGTCACTACTTTCTGGTGAAAACATTCAAAATCCTTTCTTTTAGATTTCTGAGATATATAGTATACAATTGCTGTCTATAGTCAGCCTACTGTGTACAGTTTTACAAATCCTATCCATCTGCATCCTAATACCCACTGATCAACTTTTCTCCATCCTTTCTCTTCACTGTTCTCCCTGGCCTTACTCTCAGCTTCTCTAAAATCAACTAATTTTTAGTCTTAATCATTTACATATCAGTATAGCTGTGGAAAAATCTATCCACGAGCAGATCAGTTCTATATGAACCCAATTTCTTTTTTTTTTTTTTTTTTGTCTTTTTAAGGCAAGATTTTGGAAATATAGATTATTCTCTTTTTAATAGGAAAGAAAAGGAACAGCTAAAGTAGACTTTTTGAAGAAGATTGAGAAAGAAATCCAACAAAAATGGGACACTGAGAAAGTGTTTGAGGTCAATGCATCTAATTTAGAGAAGCATACCAGGTGAGTAATTGTGGAGTTCTGAATGTTAAACTGCTCCATGGGACAGATTAAGTCAAAAGGTATGTGTAATGCCTGAGACAGGCTGAAGGAGGTAACTTCCACTTTCTGCATTCTTCTTAGGCCCCTGACAGCTAGGGCAACATCACTGGGTCTGGGGGCCCTAGGTACTCTTGCCATGGGAGAGAACTGTGCACTGGTTGGGGCCATAAGTGTTACAACTTTCTGCTACCCTCTGTTAGTCTTTGTTGCTGGCTGCTGCTTGTCCCCAGCATTCCTGTCAGTTTTGCCTGCTGCTCAGCTTGCCTGTCTTATTGCCTCTGTGCTATCAGGGCAGCTTCCTCCCTGCCACTGCTGCTGCTTCTCTTCTTTTTCTTCATATTACCACTCAGCAAAGGTGGACAAGACCACTCGAGAGAAAGTCTCTGTTGGGAACTGATGTTATAATATTGGGAATAGGGTGGGGGGCAGTAAGGAGAGGAGGGTGTCTTATAAAATGAGTTTAGTAGACTGTTTATATATCCAGAAGAAGAGGAGAACAACCCTGTCTGTACCAATTACAGCAGTGCCCTTATGCTTGCACCAATCGTAGGTCTTCTGTTGGGCCAAAGCTGCCTTTTCTCCCTCACCCTCCATGAAAGTGGCAGTTGGTAGAAAGAGATGGTATAAACTGCTTGCAGAAGCAGTGCCTTTTGGAACTGAAATCATGCTTTGAGTCCTGGCATGAGGCCAGTCTGACTGTCTGGTTGGCATTCCTTTGCTCAAGGCAGCTGGGGCCTGGGAGAAGGGGTCTAGTAGCTGTCAACTAGGGAGGTAAGTTTCCCTAACCCTCAACATCTCAGCACATTTAAAGAAAGAAAATAAAACTTTCAAAAGGGTGTTTACAACAAAGGCTTATCAGTAACAGTACATTTGACAATACCTAACAGTATTCTAACAATGCTTAGCTTCTGTACAAGTATCCCAGTGAATGGTGGGTCCCTACCTCTGTTTAACTATGGAGTTCTAAAATATTTTTTCTGTGTAATGTTTTCTGTGTTTTTTTTTGTTTGTTTGTTTTGATGGAACTGGAGTTTGAACTCAGGGCTTCACGCTTGCAAAGTTGGGTTTCTATCATTTGAGCTTACTGTAGTCCATTTTGCTGTGGTTATTTGGAGATGGAAGTCTTGCAAACTATTTGCCCAGGCTGGCCTTGAACCATGATCTTCCCAAACTCAGCCTCCCAATTAGCTGAAGATCACAGACATCAGCCACTGGTGCCCAGCTAAGTTTTTGATTTTCTTTCTTTCTTTTTTTAGTACTGGGGTTTGAACTCAGAGCCTTATACTGCTAGGCAGGTGCACTACCACTTGAGCCACTCTTCCAGCCCAGTGTTTGTTTGTTTTTTTTTTTTTTAAAACTAGTATTTTTCATATTTAGATAGGGGAGACTATTTTGAAGCTTTATCTTCACTGACTAATGAAATCTATTTTCTTACAGAGACTAATAATGATAATTACTTCAAAGACAAAAAATAAAATTTTGAAGGTTTTTCTTTGAGTACCTTATTTCATAAACACTATATTGTCTTGATGCTAAGAAATTGATTTTAAGACAAACAAAGATAGTAATATTAGAGAAAAAACCAAAATAACTGTACCCTAATACAGTGCCACGATAAATACATGTATCAGTTACAAGGTATATACCAATATCAGATGTGTTGAAATGTAGAAAAATGTACTTCAAATTGAGTAAATACAGTGATAACTGTAACAATAGTGGTAGCTAGCATTGAATACTTACGGTGTACAAGAAGGAAACACGTCAAGTCTTTTATGTGCGTATTCTCATTTAATCATCTTAATCCTTCAGTGTTAATGAATTTTTTAATCCCTATTTCACAGATGAGGAAAAAGACACAGAGAGACTAAGTAATCTGCTCCACGTTGCATACCTAGGAATTCATAGAACCTGGGCTTATTTTTAGGACTTTGTAATTCTACAGTCTATCCTTTTTGCTATTTCGCTACCTTCTAATGGAATACACATACACACACTATTTTTTTGAAGAGAAAAGTTGGTATAATACAAAGTGTAAGTTTCTGGTGTTATATCTTATAGTTTGAAGCTTCTGTGTGATTCTGGATTTTTGGGTAACTTTAAGGTAATTTAAGGTAAAGCAGTGAACTGGAAAAGCTGCTTTGGTCAATGAAAAGCAGTGAGGTGTAGGAATTTGCAATAATGCTGAAGAAACTTGGTAATACAATATTGCGTGAAGAAAACCAGTTGCAGAAATCTTTAAAAGTCCTGTGCAAAAGTTTTATTTTACCTAATGGATTTAGAATTGTTTTATATATCTCTAGTGAAAATAGTTTTCATTTAATCAGTTAAAACATTAAATCAGTATAGATTCTCAAAAGTATTAACATTTTTCATTATATCATCTTTACCGAAGTTAAACCTCTAGTATTTGCTACAAGGACGTTTATTTCTTCATAGTTCTCATAAATGTATGATTCTTTCTAAGTCAAAGGTAAGTCTCAGCTTTAGAGAGCTTTTAATTTCTAAATTTTCAAATTTGCTTTTAAATATCTAAAGTTTAAACAAGTTACTTATATCTAGCATTCCCTCCACCCCATCCCTCAATGTAAAAAAATGCTAACATTTTCTGTGTTTTCCTGTTCAAATGATTGTTTTGCAGTAAGAACAAGTACTTTGTTACATTCCCATATCCGTATATGAATGGGCGTCTTCATTTGGGACACACGTTTTCTTTATCGAAGTGTGAGGTAAAGCTTCTTCTATATTTAATACAATGGGATGGAGGGTCCTTAAATACTATATTGGCGGGGTACCAGTAGCTCACCTCTGTAATCCTGTCTACTTGAGAGGCTGAGATTGAAGGATCACAATTTGAGGCCAGCCCAGGCAAATAGTTCTCAAGATCCTAACTCCAGAATAACAAGAGCAAAATGAACTGGAGGCTTGGCTCAAGTGGTACAGCGCCTGCTTTGTAAGCATGAAGTTCAAACCCCATTCCCACCAAAAAAAAAGAAAAAGAAAAACTTTTGAAGAAATTGGCATATGTAGAATTTATTTCCTGTTAAAGGAACTCAAATTTCCTTAATTATAAGCATAATTTTAATATACAGTTAATTGAATTTTTATATCGTGTGTATAGTTGTGCATGGTTTTGTTCAAAATTACTGGGTTGGTGATAAAACAATTAAAAAAGAGTGGCTCAAGTGGTAGAGCACCTGCCTATCAAGCTTAAGGCCCTGGGTTCAAACACCAGTACTGCAAAAACAAAACAACAACAAACCAAAAAAGATGATATATCAAAAAAAAAAAAGCTGATTGTTGGTGGCTCATGCCTTTAATCCCTGCTACTTGGGAGTCAGGATTGATGTTCAAGGCCAGTTCACGAGATCCCATCTCCAAAATAACCAGAGCAAAATGGACTGAAGGTGGGGCTCAGGTGGTACTGTGCCTCCTTTGCAAGTGTGAAGCCCTGAGTTCAAACCCCAGTCCCACCAAAAAGGAAAACAAAACAGAACAATAAGAAAAGGATAGAATGTTAGAATTTTGCAGTGATGGTAAAATCTAATTGGTGTTCTAAAGGAAGATATGAAGAGGAAAGTGAATCAAAAGTTAGCATTTGTATTCATCTATCTTTTATATTTGTAATTTAAGTTTATTCTTCTTCTTCTTTTTTTTTTCTCTGTAGTTTGCAGTAGGGTACCAGAGATTAAAAGGAAAAAGCTGTCTGTTTCCCTTTGGCTTACACTGTACTGGAATGCCTATTAAGGTAAGGTTGCTGATAGGATTGCTTTCTACTCTTTTTGGCTCAGAGTAAATATAATACCCAATTGAAGATCTTGAAATAGGATTTTCAAATACTGCCATATTATATTAAAGCTTTTGTGAAATTAGTTGAATTTATTTTAGTGAAGATTACTTTAAAAACATTTGAAGAAGTACTTAAATAAAAGGCACACAGTAGCCAGGGGTGCAGGCCTGTGATGCCAGCTTTTGGGAATCTGAAGTAAAAGGATAGTCAGTTCAGTGCCAGCCTAGTCTACATAGTTCCAGGGCAGCCTGGGCTACACAGGATGATGCTATCTCAAAAAGAGGGGAAAAAATAAATGCCAAAAAATCCCCAAAACATGCACATGAAGGCCTAAGTGATTTCTAAGTAGTTTTGATATCTTTTGAATACCTTGTGTATTCATGTCTATGTTTGAATTAGGTAATAAGTAATTTTTAATAAGTACAATTACTTCAGCATTTGTGACATATGTACAATGATGGCATGAAGTAACAAACAGTTGTATCATATTGTATATTTTTTAAACGTCTTAATTTGTAATAAACCTATAGTAGAAATAATTCTCAACGAAGGGTGGACCAGAAAACTAGAGTTGAAAAGATTCCCTAAAAGCAACAGAATTAGCTATTTCTTTTTATTTTCCACCTTTTATTTTGACAAAGGTCAAAATGTCAAACCTATAAAAAAGGTGAGAGGATAGTACAGAGAGCCCTTCTTATACCTGTACCAACTAAGTCACACCCTGCACAGAGAGTGGCCAAGTATTCTCTTTATTTCCTTGTTTTTTTTCTTTACTTTTTAAAAATTTTTGATTTTGTATTATAGGCGTGTGCTGACAAGTTGAAGAGAGAAATAGAGCTGTATGGTTGCCCCCCTGATTTTCCAGATGAAGAAGAAGAAGAGGAAGAGATTGATGTTAAAACAGAAGATGTAGTAATTAAGGATAAAGCTAAAGGGAAAAAGGTTTGGTGTTTGTTAATACTTATTTTGGCTGGAGTTTAACATTTATATTTATCTGATTTATAGGTGCATTACCAACACTAGCACAGTGCCTACTGATATGTATTTGATGGTTTAAAAACGTGTCAAATCCAAAAATCCTTCTGATTTTTTTTTTTTTGCCTTTTTTTCCTTTTTATTTTGGAGATAATTTTAGATTTGAAGAGGAGTTGCAAGATAGTACAACTTATAACTTTATAACTTTACCTACTTCCCCTAATGTTATAGTTTATATAACTATGGCATAATTCTCAAAACTAAGGAATTAACATTAGTATTATATTATTTATAAACTGCAGACTTCATTTGGATTTTTACTTTTTTTACAGTACTGGGGTTTGAACTCAGGGCCTACATCTTGAGCCATTCTACCAAACCTTTTTTTTTTTTTTT